ACATTATTTTATTTGTCGATGTCCTTACTAGTCAATCTCTTTATGGCTTTAGTCATCAAATTTGCTTAAGATGAGGTACATTTTTCTCCCCATGTTTACTTGGGCTTAAAATCCCAATCTCGATTTGAGAGACTAATAAAAAACTAGGTGTCATATTTAAACTCTCAATCTTAATTAAAGAGACTAATCAAAAAAGATTGAGAGACTAATTAGAAAAGAGGTGATCAACTTAAACTCCCAATCTTGATTAGAGATATTAATAAAAAAAGAGATATTGAGCTTAAAATCTCAAACTGGTTTATGAAAAATTGGAAAGGAATGTTGCTCTCTAACTCCCAATCTCAATTATGAAAGATTAGAAAAGGATATCGAGCTCTAACTCCCAAACTTGGTTACAAAAGACCAAAAAAGAATGTCAAGCTTGAACTTCCAGGCTCTAACTAGGATGTTGCAAAAAATTCAACAGCATTAGGTAGTGTAAAGTGTACAACTAAAATGTTGATCGACAACGACATGTACTAGGGACAAACAAAGACATATCACCTAGAATACTATAAAAATAAGTACAATAAGTATAATAATATGTTACATGGGCGTGACAATGCTCGAAATCGGCTTGACCATGCTGCTTAAGTGGTGTGGCCACGTCAGTTTTGGGCATGGCTACGCCGGTCTGGATTTTTCCAAAATATCTTGTTTTGCTCTGATTGTTGTGCTAGTCCTCATGTAACATACAAAATGCAATTCTAACCTTCCAAAAGCCTAAAATCATGTATTTGAAGTGGAAAATTGCTGGAATTAAAGCATAAAAAGTTTTAAAATTTGGTGCATGTAACATAATAAAAGTAAAACACATGTTAAAGTCACATTTATCTATTACATTTTGTGTGGTTGAACTGCATTGCATGATGCAATCTTTTCACTGCTAGACACACATGCATCCACATGTACTTCATCAATCGCTCTAATACAATCTTAAAGCATTTGTCAAAGCTATTTGAATAACTGTGTTCAAGTAAATTCAAGAAAATATGAATGCATACATTTACCTTAAAATATGACATATAATGTTGGTTCTACAAAATATCTATGGGGGTCTTTTGGAATGTGGGGTCTTCGGGTTTGATAATTTCCGTTAATAAGCAGATCAAATCATTCAATCTAATTGAAAAATAGTACTAAATATATCTGATGAGAGATGGAATCACTTCATGACTCCTTTCATAGATTCATTTTGTGTTAAAATGTAAAGAGTTATGACTAACACCTCTCTAGAAGTTATCTTGGAGGTTCAAGATTTTTGTGCAGTTCTTCTAATAGATTAATAAATATGGGTTGTTTTATATGAAACATATTTTTTAATCTTTTTGGGTGACCCACAAGGAACTCCGCAACCCACTTATTGCATATGTATGTTGATGTCATGCAAGGAGAGAACATTATATGAGTTGTAATACTCATATATTAAGCATAACACATCCACAATTCCTCTTCTGTGTCTTTCTCTATCTCTGTTATTCATTGCTTATGCAACTACAACATATAAATATCACAAAATTAGCTAGAAAATGCATTAAACAAAAAGTAATGACAGTTAAAATTTGAAAAGCAATGAAGTGATTGTAGTGCTTATATATGTCATCATAAAAATCAAAGAAAAATTATCTATGAAATAAAACTCAAGCGCATTGAAAGTAGAACAAATAATGTGCCCATAAAAATCAGACATAAAGTGTAAATAAAATAGCATTCATGCATCCCAGTTGTCATGGAAATAAAATAAGTAATTGGCCTCAGGGGTCAACATAAAGAGCTCTCTCTGAATCGGGTCTTCAGGCAACTTCATAGAGAACAAGTAAATCATCATATTCTCTTAAATTTCTGGAGTTGCCTCCAGAATCCATATGACTTGTTGAACAGAAGTTGCTTGTGATATGCTAGGGTCATTGGTGCATGAAACAACTAACTGTGAAATTTGGCTTATAATAAAAATTGCACCATTTTTCTTCTTTTTCTCAACCTTGGGATATTTGAATGGACTAGTAGAATAAACTTCATTGATGTTAGGGTCGAGGCTTTCATTGGAGCATCAGTTTGCTTGACATCTACATGCTCATCTATGCCAACAAAGCCTCTCTTGCTTAAGGCCCATGCATGATCACCCATTGGCATGACTCCACTAAACATATGATCTAACTTTTCTTTAAGCTCAAGGTCAATGTCGTCGAATTTAAATTTTTTGACATTTAGCACGACTTACAAATTAATGGATAAAATGACATGTTAATGTAATTGAAAAAAAATATGAATGATTCGATGTTTCATAAATTCTCATCTCCCACCATTCTTTTGAAGCATCGATGGATCGCTTTATTGGATTCCAACCCAAGCCCGTGGATCCTCAATTTAACTTTTTTTTCATATTTTGCAGTCCTTTTCAACTACTCTCACTTATTTTTTAATTGCATTCTATCAGATTGTCTTTCTGTGCTTTCCTCGAACTTTTTTATTATATTATGTCATCATTCCTTATTAAAGTTGGTGGTTGAGTTGTCCCTAATTTCACCACTTTAAGACAAATATTGCAAAATATTAGCTTCACCTATTTATCCCACATGACTGACGAACTGATTTCTTTTGTCTTTACTATGACGACTATTAGAATGAAAAGAGTCAAGCAACATAAATGTGTGTATTGTAATATAAAGTTATCTCATAAAAACATAAAGTCCATTTAAAATTTCAAAACTCGAAAAGATAACAGAAAAAAAAAATCTGAAATCTATTAACACTTCACCAACAATACCATTACCAACATGCACCACCCCCATATCATCAATACGAACACACCAACACCTCCGACTCAACACTCCACCACCTTCAACCCAACACACCACCACCATCACTGTCATGTACACATACCACCACTGTCACATCAAGACACCACCACACATAACATGTACACATCACCACCCAACCACCACCATATCGTCACGACCAACACACTACCACCAACACCATCACCACCACCTCCAACCCAACACACCATCACACATACCACATATATCTCATAGCCCAACCACCACCACATCACCTAGACTAAACCACTACCACCACCTTCAACCCAACACACCACCACCACCAAACAAACAAACCACCACTCCCATCTACCACACAAACAAACCACCACCACCACACCATCAACACACCACAAACACCACTCCTACGTACACAAACCACTAATACCACTCCCATGTACACAAACCACCATCACTTCACCAACATACCACCACACAATGCTTCCCTTAGCATCCTTGAAGCATTTTAACACAATCTCATCACCTCCACAACATTACATGGCCTCACGTGGCCTTCAAATCCAACTTGTGAGCACTTAATGACGTCCACACCCCCTTCCACTCAGTGAAATGTTGCCCCATTTCTTTCAAGAACATCCACAAAACAATATTGAACAACTTCTCATAACCCCAAACCCAATTCACTACCTCCATTCCATCAATTTCTCAAAGCTGAAAACACTCAATTTTTTGTTTTGCATCAAAACTCCTTCAAACTCAAAATTGAACCTCCCAAAAGCTTCTTCAGCATACATGAAGCACTCCAAAACTCTTTTTCCTTTATTCCAAATAAATTGAACATTTCATCCGAAAAAGAGGGCAACCCACCCGTACCAACCAAAATAACAAATGAAACATAAACATATGACATAAATCAAAAAGAGCTCCAACCTCCAAAATTCACAAAGATAAGCATGTTCCAAGTCTAATCATTCCAGAAGCCACAAAATCCAACTCTAGTCATTCCAAAGGTCATAAATCTCAAATTTATTTATTCCAGTTATCACAAATAGAAAAAAGCAAGTCACAAAAGACCCTAAAACCACAAATTGAGTAGAACAAAGAGCATAAAAAAAAAGATAGAGGATACCAAAATCCCAAAAACTAATCTTTATGATACTAGAATATTGATTTCACGGTAGAGCAAAACAACAAATCGTACAAAGAAATCCACACAGTCCGAATCAACCTCAAACCACAAAGATAAATGATAGATGACATCGTGGGAGAGCGAGGGAAGAAGACTCCTTACGACAGAGATGCGAGAAAGGAGATGACCTTAGAGCAGAGATGCGTGAGAGGCAGTAGAGACACGAGAGAGGTAACACAAGAAAGGCATAGAAGCAAGAGAGATAGAGACATGAAATATAGGCTAAGGCATGGACATGAGGGCATGGAGGGGAAAAATAACTAAAAAAATGTGGACCACATGACCGAACCCGCAACCCGCATTTACGAGTGTGTCGTCGAAGACCCTGCCACATTGTCGGAACAAAAAAAAAAAAAACAACATTTTCCCCCCGGGTTGCCCAGAGATAGAGACATGAAATATAGGCTAAGGCATGGACATGAGGGCATAGAGGGGAAAAATAGCTAAAAAAATGTGGACCACATGACCGAACCCGCGTCGTCGAAGACCCTGCCACATTGTCGGAACAAAAAAAAAAAAAATACATTTTCCC